AAAAAAAAAAAAAAAAAAAAATTGTAGGAAAAAAAAGAAGATAATGATGATAAATAAATTCAATTTATAAGTTCAAGTCTTATTGACTATAGTTATTATAAATACTACCTACATAAGATAAGAACTGAAAATACGGTTCATTATAATGCAGGTGAAATAAAACAATGTATATATGCAATAAAAAGTTATAGTACATTATTGAAATTATTGAGTTGTTGGAGCTTCAATTGTTTGACTTTCATTAATGCACATTTCACCACATTCATGAATTTCTAAATTACAAATACAACATAGCATAAAAATGTTGAGACATAATATATGATGAATAATGGAAATCTTTAATTTAATTAATTATCTATTTTAATTATTATTAGTGGTATTCTAAATTTGTTAGGAAATTATTTATTTATTATTTTACTATAACCGTTTTCTTGGTGTGCAAGTAATTTAGTTTGGTTCTATTTAAGAGGCCTCTTCTCTTGTATTCCCGTAATAGGTTAGTTTTTGAAAATGAAACTCAACTTAAGAGCCTTGTGATTCGTAAGATCAAAACTCATGTTTATTGTACAATATTTTCGACGTATCCGCATGTTCTTGCCGAAATGGAGAGGAAAGCCCGTGGGATTGGATTGACCTAACCTCCATTTGGACTCTTATTTGATTAGCGAGTGAGGAACCGAGTATGTGGTTACCCACTTGGCTTCTTGTTTGCCGTTGGACGGTCGTTGTAGCACCATTTTTTATCTATATATCTTTAATTTACCGATCAAAAAAAAAAAAAAGAGTCGATTAGTTATGAAATAAAAAATATCACCTCCTATTCTTTTAAAATGTTATTTTGACATTATTAACTATTAACAAAGTAAATGTCGTTTTGGATATTTTGTACATATTTTTTCATTATTACCCTTATCTAGCTAATAAATACACTAAGTTTTTTTATATTCACTATTCATCTTTTCTCAAAACATTCATCTCTATCCTCATTAACGAGAGTTATTATTGACAAAAAAAATATTCTTAATAATTGTACAACTGTTTGTTATATTTTTGTTTGTTTTTCGTGCATTTTTATTTTCTTGAGTCGGGTATTTTTAGGTTCAGTTTGTGTGTTCCGGTCCATTTTTGTTCGTCTTTAGTAGCTTTGCGTTTTTGAGTCGTTTTTATATATTTCTTCTATCTTCTTTGTGCGTTTTGGTGTTTTGTAGGTACGGAAGGAAGAAATAGTCATTTTGTGATGTGCCGTTCGAGTCGACCGAGCCGTCCCGAGACGAGGAGAAAAAGAAT